TCAAAAATACTAGTTTGATCTAACTTACTAAAGAAATGAACAACCAGCCACACATGCTGATTACAATGGTTTAAAATCTTTAGATTAATTTGGGAGAGCAATACTGTGAAGACATCAAGACTTTCCACGCAAGAACATGGCATGTGTCATTTATTGAGTTACATATGATAAAATGTTACATTTGATGAAATGTTCCTCACACAGGTCTTGGAATTTTCTTGTTAGAATTATCCCTCCTGTTTTATGCATTACGACAACACCAAAGTCAGTGGCCTAGCAGGACTTCCAGGTCATACCAGGCTGAGAAACCAGGATGTAACTCAATTATAAAGAAGCAGTATCTTGAATTTGGAGGGTGGCAGGAAGCCCCTCTTTGCCTCTTTTTCTTTTTCAATATTTTTTTTTAGTTGTAGTTGGACGCAATATCCTTATTTTCTTTATTTTTGTATGTGGTGGTGAGAAAGGAAGGAACTCAGAGCCTCACATATGCGAGGCAAGCGCCCAACCACTGAGCTAAAGGCCTGGCCCCTGGCCCCCTTTTCTATTACTCCTTAAATACAATCAGAAACCTCAAGAGTGGTCTTTTGAAAACTGCTCAAGCCATACAGCCTGATCCTCACTGTAGATCCTGATTGCTTTTCATTTCCCTGAACTGGAAAGTCCAATCTATCTCCCCTTCTGGACCCACCTAGCTGCAGACTTCCTGAATGGGGGGCACCCCTTTGAGAGCATCGTTGATCCTTTCGGTTCTCTCTTGACAGCTTGGCATTCAGGTGGTTTCCTACCCTCAGCTGATCAGTTCCCACTTCCTAAACGGAACGTATGTGCTGAAGAGCCCTTCTCCTTGACACAGCCCCTGTCCTTCATGGCCCCAGTTACAGCTATGCTCTGTGGCCTTCTTCCCGGAGATGGCCAGGTCATGTCACTCTGCCCATTGCTGTCACAAATTCACTGAATAAAATAGCATCACTGAATAAAATAACCCGGACACAGTAGAGAGTAGAAGAGATGACTCTAGAGCTTAGGAAGAAAGGGGGAGTAGGGATAGGGGCAAGTTGGATAATGAGTCCCCATGTATACAGCTAGATTGGGGAACTGGTTCCAGTGTTCCACGTCATAGCAGGGTAACCATAGTCTATAACAATTTATTCTGCATTCCACAATAACCAGAGAAGAACTTGAAGGTTCCCAACACATAGAAATGATAATGGTGGATGGAAATGCTAATTATCCTGATTTGATCATTATAGATTATATAATACGTGTTCCAAAATATAATATTGAATCCCATAAATAAGTATGTTAATTGAAATTTTTAAACATTTAGGAATACTGATTTATCTTCTAGCATATGCTCAGAAGGAAATTTTTTAAAAATGTGATCATCTGGCCTTCTTTAATCATTCACCTCTTTTTTATTGACAAGAAACATGACTGTCATAAAATTATTTCTTTTAACCCTAAGATGCAGATTTTATTTACCATTTTTATGGCAAAGTAAAATAGGAGTATTTTGATTACTTTGAGAGTGAAAGTTCTGAAATGTGTCTTTCCAGATCCACGTCAGAAATACTGGGAAGACTAGTTTTCCTTGACTCATGTAACATTCATTCACAGTCAATATATATTAAATTTTTGCCTCCTGGATATATGTGGGCAATTTATTAGAGTTTATATTTTGTAAAGACCAACTATTTGGTGTCAAGTGTTTAATGACATTAAATATCAGGTTAATCAACAAATCTTCCCAACCTTTTCCTACAAGAAAGTTCTTTTCCACTAGAATATTTTTCAAGGAAATATGCCTATATCATGAAATTAGAAACAAAAGCAATTTTAACTAATTTTTTTTTTGTACTAAGGATTAAATCCTGAGGCACTATACCACTGAACACATTTCCAATTCGTTTTAGTTTTTATTTTGAGACAGGCTTTCACTAAGTTGCTAAGGCTGGCCTCAAATTGGCCATTCTCCTGCCTCAGACTCCCAAGCTGCTGGAACTTTAGGTGTGTCCCACCACATCTGGCAATAACCATATTTTACTTACATGAGGAATACCAATATTCTCCTAGGAAATTAAGTTTCTCTTATAACAATATAATCATCATCACCATCTGGAAAGCCAACTCTTCAATGTCCCCCTACATATGCAGATCTCATAAAAATGGAATGTTCCTACCTGTTCTTTGACGGAGGCGAGGATGGCAGAGGTGGTTTCCGTTTCAGAGCCGTCCCCATTGGAGGTGTTTAAGCCAGGGCTCAGGGAGCTGGTCTTCTCAGAGGCTGACGAAGGCTGGTCTGGGACAGGCATAGCTCCTGCAATGCAAAGGACAGGCAGGCTCAGGAAACTGGACATGGTCACTCCAAGGGACATACCCATCAGACGGCCCCAGAGCACAGGTGGGAATGAGGAAGCTTACACACTGCAGGCAGAACACGGCGCGACTGTAGAGGAGGAAACCCTAGGAGGAAACAGCACAGCCCCCACGTTATGTCCACCCCAAGCAAATCTGCAATGGCCCAAACATGCCTTTGTGTCCTATCTCTGAGATCAGTGGGGGAAGAAAGGGCAGAGGGGGAAGAAACAAGCAAGGGTCTAAGGAAGGAAGAGAAAGGAGATGAAGAAACCATGAGTCTAAGAAGCTCCTGTAACTGCAAATTTATGTTTTAGGCAAATTTATTACTCTGTCCTATTGGTATATTTGCAACTCAAGTGTGCCCATTGTAAGGAGATGATCCCATATAAATAGTCCATAATCACCAATAATAGAAATAACATAAAAAGCTTTGTGGGTATTATGAAATCCAGTCAGTAACTAGTGGATCCCATAGACATGTACCTAGCCCTGACTCCAAAACAGAAAAGGCCCACTTTCCACACTTTATTTTTATTTTATTTTCCCGTTTTATTTATGGGGTGGGGAGAAGAAACTCAAATCACACTAACCCCAGTGCATAAAGGGATACACATGTGCAGGTTAAAAAGCAAGTTTTCTTTCTCACACAAATGAGACTGGTGTAGTCTGGATGGCCACAACGCCCAACCAGTTCACGTACTGATCTAACTCCCAAGGTTGGTGGGGTTGGGAGTTAGGGCCTTTGGAAGGTGATTAGTCATGGAAGCAGAGCTCTCAAGGGTTTAGGCCTTTACACAAGATGCCTAGGAAGGACTCTTTGCCCCACCCACCTTGAGAGAACACAGTGAGGGGCCCCAAGGATGAACCAGGAAACAGGCCCCTGCCAGGAACCCTCGAGGGCCTTCATCTTGGACTTAGTCCCTAGAAATGTGAGAAATAACACATTTTTTGTTTGTTTGTTTTATTTGTTTTGGGTACCAGAGTTTAAACCCAGGGGTGCTCAACCACTAAGCCACATCCTCAGCCCTATTTATTTATTTTTTAAATTTTGAGACAGGGTCTTGCCATGTTGCTGAGGTTGGCTGTGATCTTGTGATCCTCCTGTCTCAGCCTCCCAAGCCACTGGGATTACTGATATGTGCCACCATGCCAGGCATATAAGGTGTTTTTTAAGAGCAGACTGAAAGGACTAAGACAAACATATATCATCTAGTAATGACCACCAACAGAGAAACCAATCATTAACTGAGGGCCATCTTTACCAAGGCATTACAAAAAACCCATCTCAAGAAAAGGCTAGGAGTAAATAAGAGTCAATTTCATGCCTACACCTGCTACTGGCCCCCAGAGACCAGTGTGGCAAGATAGCAAAGCATATTCCCTATTATAGTATAACTAAGTATCATTTTGCACCAAGTGACAGATTTTTCAGAGTAGCCCTTTCCCTGTGTTACTAGCTACATTTATCTAGTAACAGATCTATGCAAACCTTTAAAAGCCCAATTACACAACTTATCTTAAAACACAGAATAAAAAAGTGCCATTCAATTTTTTTTAATTGAACCTCCCAACTATCTTTTGATTTGCTTTTATGTTTTGAAGCAACTTACTATAATTTCACTACAGGCGATTGGAATAACATTGGAGAAATTAATCTTGGAGAGATTTTTAGTTACCAATATTAACAAAACAGAATTTGAGTAAAGAGTGCAGATCAGATCAAATACGATTTGGCAAAATGCAAACTTGCTTAAAATGTTCAAAATACTTGAGGGGATGGAAACTGACAGGAGGAAAGAAAGAGACTTAAGTAATTTTGGTGGTGGGGTTGGGAAGAGCACAGTAAAGAATACCTATGCATTTTCATTGTTTCTGACGTGTTTTTTTAGCTGATAAAATCTCATTACTATGTAGAACACAGGTACATCAATATACACTGTGCCAGTTGAAGTAACTGAGACCCAGGATCTGTCACCTAAGAGAAGTTGGGAGATGGAAAGAGGTGCAAGGTGGAAATTCAGAAAGAAGGAAAACGGCAGCTCTGGGTGCTTGGTCAACTCCGGTTACCAAGATCCACCCTGACTATGATGTACTATGATGCTTCCAGAGGGGACCCCACACAGGAGAGCTTTCTCTGAGAAGGGAATCTCACATTTTAAATTATTATTCTAATTTTTATGTTCTCTGAACTTCATTTGGCCCATGTTAATTCAGGTCCTGGGCTAGTATTATTATTAACACATTCTCAGACAGAGAACATGTCTGAGGTCTTAAATTTATTAAGAAACGTAAGTGGTCTAGAACTCATGTTTTCTCCCCTTTCATTCCTGTTTTAGTGTTGTTGTTTTTTTAAATGTCTACTTCCTTTTGAACCTTTATGATGCCCTAAATGCTAGTCTACCACCTAAATTTTACAGAATATCACTCTTAAAAGAATGACAGTGATCTCTTATGATCAAATATGGGATTTAATAGGCACCAATCTCATTTTGTCCTTAGGCAATTGACAACTTGACGCACGTGTTCAAGGGAAGTGTGGGCCTGTCTGCCCCCTTTCTGTTGTTCTATAGAAAGGAGTGAAGCCTTAGGTCTTACCCCACCACCCAGAGCTACTGCTACCTAAGGCAGCCACCACCTCTATCTGCAAATGACTTGGAATAATGTCCATGGCTTATTATCCAGACTTCACCTCAGCACTGGTCACTGCTGTGCCTGGATGACAAAGACTGTCAACTTCCACTCCCATCTTCTTGGCTCCCAGCAAAAGAAGAGATGGATGAGATATGAAAAGACCTGCTGCAACTCAGCCCGGGATCACCACATGGAAAGTATACATAAAGACCTTTAAGTCTCTGGATTTTGCGTTAATATGGCCAAGTACTTTAGTCTTAATCAGAACTAATCCACTAAAAATGAGTTTTTAAATGGTGTTAAACCCAGGGAATTACCAAAGCTCCGAAGCAAAAAGAAGAAACAAATAGAGGAGGAATAACCATCAACAATGCTGCCATCCCAGATAAGTGTGTTTACTTGGGGATTTGAGTAATTATTTTTTTTTCCTACTATAACTTATCTATATAGAGATTTTTACATAATGGAGAACTAAGGTAATATTTGTAAAAAAAATTATTTTCCTGCTCAGCAACATCTTATGAACAATTTCTTGTGTCAACAGTAATTATTTTCTAGTTTAATGATGTAATGAACACATACATTTTGATAATCTCTACAGATCAAGATTTACTTACTTATGCTCTTTTTGTAATTTTTAATCTCACTTTTGCATCTCTGATATTTTCAACAAACTTCCAGAAGCAGAGTGAATGAAGTAAGGAATGTGTAGATTTTTCAGACTTTTCACAGCAAAAACACAGGGTCCTGCAGCCAGGCTGACCCACACCTCTGGCCCCTTTGGTGTAATGACAAAGCCACTTCCCCACCTGTCCCGAGCACTAGCTGGATCCTCCCATACCTTTACCAGCATGATACAGAAAAATGCATCCCTGCCTACAAGTACAGTGGCTTTTTGAGACAGATTTATTCCTTTATACACAAGTCTTCACACCCTTCCCACAATGTCTCTGTGAAAAGTCTTTCTGTGTAATAGAATTATAATCTGCAAATATACAAGTGATATTTTAGGCCCATTTTCCATGTTAGAAAAGGACAGAGTAGTGAGGGAAAAGTAGCCCTGAATTTTGGGTTTGTTTTTTCTGGCAAAAGTTGGCACTATCAAGTGCTATGTCCACAAAATAGCAAAACAAAAACTACTTCTGGGCCAACGCGTGCTGCTCTGTGCCCATAAGCATGAGCAGTACTGTGCACTGAGTTGTGTCCCCTGAACACACACTGAATACAGCTCCAATTCTCCATATGGTTGTAAAGACATAAAGACAAGGCCTTTAGGGAAGTAATTAAGGTTTCATGAGGTCACAAGGCTAGGGCCCTAATCCACAAGGACTGGTGTCCTCATAAGAAGAGAAAAAGCTAGCTCTCCTGTGCACACACAGTTCCAAGGCCATGTGAAGATATAGCAAGAAAGCACCACCTGCAACCAGGGAAGAGAGGTGTCACAGGAACCAAAGCAGATGGCACCTTGATCTTGGACTTGCGGTTGCCAGAAGAGTAAAAAATAAATTTGTGTTGCTTAATTGGTACTTTGCTATGGAATCCCAGACATTACGCGAATACAAGAAAGATCTGGTTATTCTCAGCTACCATTTCCTAAATTCCCCGGGTGGGAGGCAAGAGCATGGGAGTCTTGTAACTGATGGTAGCAGGGTGTAATTCCAAAATGAATTAAAGTATCAGGAGAAGGCCTACCTCCTGCTTTTCAAATCAGCACATGTGATAATGGGCTTAAAAAGAGATGCATCCCTTCATATGAAATAAGCCTAGAGAACAAATCACTACCTTAAAAACCTCCATGGTACTGCCATTCTCATAGAAGCAGCACTCAGAAACCAGAACAGTTGGCCGGAGTGACCATAACAGGGAAAGCAGGTAGTCCCCATACCCAGGCTCCTGTTCAGTATGAACTCATATCACATGTAATAAGGTGTTGTGGTATCCAAAGAATACTCCAATCTTTTCTTTCCCAAATGTAAGATGCTATAAATTCACATTATACTTTGTAACATATTAAATATCCTCTGCATTTTAGAATACCAAACACTGCTCTTCTCAATTCAGGGATGATATTCAATATCATATTTTATTGCTACCCATCATGCAGAAAGAAAGCAACCTAAAGTTTTGTTTTGTTTTGTTTTTAATACTCTAAGTTGCTTCTTCTGTAGTCCTTTCTGCCTAGCAACGATGACTCTGACATCAATACATGGCCATCTTCACAAAATAACTGATGGGTTCCATGTCACCATCACCCAGCTGAGTGACACACCTGCAATTTAACATGCTACAATTTCTTGATTCCCCCTCACCTCCAATTTGACAATTAGC